CTTTATCTTCCTTATCTTTATCCTTATCTTAATCTTTATGTTCCTTATCTTTATCTTTACTCTTATCTTTATCGTCCTTATCTTTATCTTTATCTTAATATTTATGTTCCTTGTCCTTTTCTTTATCTTCCTTATCTTTATCTTTATCTTCTTATCTTTATCCTTATCCTTATCTTTATCTTCCTTATCTTTATCCTTATCTTAATCTTTATGTTCCTTATCCTTATCTTTATGTTCCGTATCCTTATCTTTATCTTCCTTATCTTTATCTTTTATCTTCTTATCTTTATCCTTATCCTTATCTTCCTTATCTTTATCTCTATCTTAATCTTTATGTTCCTTATCTTTATCCTTATCTTAATCTTTATGTTCCTTATCTTTATCCTTATCTTTATCTTTATCTTCCTTATCTTTATCCTTATCTTCTTATCTTTATCCTTATTTTTATCTTCCTATCTTTATCTTCTTTATCTTTATCCTTATCTTTATCCTTATCTTTATCTTATTATCTTCCTTATCCTTATCTTCCTTATATTTATCCTCTTATCTTTATCCTTATCTTCCTTATATTTATCCTCTTATCTTCCTTATCTGACATGCACAAGGAGCCAAGTTCGATAAGCTCAGAGTCGAGCTCTCAATAACTCGGAGCCTTGTATAAATTGCTTTCTCTCTTCCGATATAAGCTTCCTTATTGTTGTGTTTTACTCATTTGATTCCAAACCGTCGAACAGAAATGATCAACCTTCTAAGGCACAAGCCATAACTTGAATTGTTGGGCACGTCCGAGCCTGATCAACAACAAGCACTACTGGAAACAGCAAGCGCCGAACAAGTACACTGCCTGTGTCTCTGTGTAGAAATCGTTATGAAAAGAAAATATTTAATGCCGAAGCATGTGATGAAGAAACTCCGACCTTACAAAAATGAAATGCTTAGGTTGGCAGATAGAAGAAAATATGGAAGAAGAAAAAAACGGATACTCGTTCAACGTGGTGAAGGTTTCCTTGGACTATTACTAAGTCCTATTTTGGAAAGCTTGGCTGAACTTGTATAAAAGCCCTGTGATTACAATTTATACATCATTTCAACAATGAACATCGAGAGTAAAATATCTCCGCGACATTGGCGCATTGAAGATATACTTTTGTATCTCAACCATAATGACAAAAAAGCTACAGCAGAAAAAATTCTACATTCTATTCTTATATCAAGTGATATATTAATTTGGAATCCTCAGGGGGAGATTGTTTATCATGGAAGAGACATTGCTGGTACTAACATCGAGAACCTTTTACAATACGCACTTTTACCATACAACTCTCACATTCCTGAACCACGAGGGTTTGACCTGTTTACAAAAGGTTTAGTAGAAGCAGGGGTTATAAAGATTTAATTAAAAATGAGTATTTATTGTCAAAAATGGCAAAGGAGGAACATGAAATGCCACAATCTGAGAGTGATGTTGAAAGCGAATCTGATGAAGAGAACAGGGAATCTGACAAGAGTGATAATGAAAGCGAATATGATGATAATGAGGATGATGATAATGAGGATGATGGTGAGCCCGAGAAACTAGCTTGTAACCATTGTGGTGAAGAGACTGATCACATTGTATACTTAATGAAGTGCCCAAGATGTTCGTGGAAAGATTTCTACTGGGGCAAAGACGCTCACTGTATGATATGTGATGAACAGTCACCTCTACTGTTTTCGCATGTCATTGGTTTCTGCGAGCTATGTTCGTATGGTACGTTTAACACCAAGACGGGGGGAGTGGAGTTCACACCAAAAATGGACAAATAAAATATCCAGCAGATTGGACCGAACGTAACCTAGCGCAAATGACTCCGGAAGCAAGAGAGGATTATGAACGTTTTATATTGAGCGATAGACCAAAGTATATTCCAATGAAGCCGGAAAAACTTGCAAAGTTATCCCCAGAAGATAGACAAGAATATGAGAACTCTTTAAAAACAACAAAAACACATAGACGTTACGCTCTTAGAAGTAGACCTTACTAGATTTTGTAAAACATTTTGAAGAAATAAATGTATTCGAAAACTGAAATATTGTGCAAATTTGTGCCCGCAAAGCCCGCTCTTTCCGCCCGCGCGAAAAGATCCATGTACAAATATGTTGTACTTTAATATATGCATGCACCCGCAAAGCCACGCACGTGATTTTAAGGTATACACCGGCGTTAAAAATAATCCCTATCTATCCATCGGAATACACTTAGTTATGCAAATTCCTATTACCTTAATCCCCTTAATTACTTACACGCCTCCTAATGACTTAGCAACGCATAATCAACGCAGCAAAGTTTAAAACATGTTTATTGATACAAATAATAGACAAAAAATATTACAACTAAGACTGTTAAATTGTTCTACAGGTTTTTTCCTTCAAGTATTCTATCTGACTCGGTCATCTTGACCGTATATATGTATGTAGGTTTGCTAAATAATGTTGAACAACATGCAAATAGCGATCATAACAACGGCTTTGACAACCCAGGATTAGCAACTGCTTATTCCTGTTGCGATATTTTTATTTCTGTTTGGAAACTTATTGTTTAAAACGAACCATCAAAATTAAAACGAATTTCAATTGCGTGTTGAAAATAAGAGAGGGACTCACAACGTTGCTACATGGTTGTAAGGCAAAACATTTTCTACCGTACCGGGTTCGAACCGGTGACCTAAGGAATACTGATTTGGTAATAACTACAGTCCTCTGCTCTACCAACTGAGCTAACAATAGATTTTAAAAACTAACTTCTATTTCATACTTTTATACATGCAAACTATGAGAAACCTTTTGTCGTTTTATTACAAATTTGTCAGAAACTAGTTGTGATGCTAATTGATCACCTGCCACATTTGGCTCAGGCCTGCCCGCGTTAATTGGTCGCGCTACCTGTCACAGTTGGACCAGGGTTAGGGCCAGCAAAGTGACGTCATAGATTTTGCATACTAATTACTTTCGGAGCAACGTGACGTCATTGGCGGCATCCCTTTGAACTCCATAGGGGGGTCCTTTACTACTGGCACTTCTACCGTCATATAGAATATAAACAAGTTGATTATTTCAAGCACGAGTGTAATATATTTTTAACAGCAGTAAACACTGAGATACATTTAGCACTGAACAATGAATTAATTAGTCACTACTGAATTTGTCGGGAAACTATGTCATGCCGTTTCCTGATTGGTCAAGTTGAAACAATCGGAATGGAATGTGTTGCTGCAGTAAGCAGCCTGTACGTGGGGAGAAAACCTCGGACCCGCGAACAGGCTGCATAGGAGACTAATAAACCTTGGGTAACACCAGCCATTAAAACCCTCATAAGAGATCGTCAGAAAGCATTCCATAACAGGAACAATCCCCTTTGGCTCTCACTAAGACGCAAGGTCCAATACGAAATAAGGGAAAGAAAAAAGTCTTTTTATAAGAACAAAGTTCAGCACCTAAGAACCACTGACAGTCGTAAATGGTGGGAAATGGTCAACAAAATGTCCGGTAAACCTCAGAAAACAAAATTTTTCTCTTTAGAACGTAACGGGGAAACTCTGAACGACGAACAACTAGCAAGTGCCCTTAAACATTTTACCGAAAGTGTTTCAGATTAAATTTTATATTAAATTACATACCTATACTATAGATATTTCGGAAATTCATTGTGATGTATATGTATATATATATATTTATAAATATATATATATATATATATATATATATATATATATATATATATATATATATATATATATATATATATATATAGTGGTTACTTTCATCCTGCTCATCAGCACTACACTGATGAG